CAGGACGAGGAAAAGAAAAACAACCACAAACACACGCGGATTAAGAACGGTGTCGCAACCAAATATGAATATATATATATATATATATATATATAAATATATATATGTATTTATATGCATATATATATTTACAAAATAAAACAATATTAATATTATTGTCATTACTATTTACTATTATAATTTTTATTATATATATATATATATATTATTATTATTATATTATTATATTATTGTTATTAATATTACTATTATTCCTATTATTATTTCTATATTATCATTATTATTATTATTAATATTATTATTATTCTTTTTATTATTATTCTTATTCTTTTTATTATTATTATTATTATTATTATTATTATTATTATTATTATTATTATTATTATTACTATTATTATTATTATTATGTAAAAAGGTAACATGAAAACACATATTAAAATTAGATGACTAACCGATTGACAGGCTGCTATATATGTTTTAGTGCACACACAAAGTGGATTTATTATAATTATCTTTGTAATAGCAATAATAATATTAATAATAATAATAATAATCATAATACAATCACAATTACAACAAATATAAGAAAATTGTGACTCTTATTATATATTTATACGTATATATATTTTATATATATATTATATATTATGTATTATATAATATATATATATATAAACATATATATACATATATATATATAGATATATATATGTATATTTATATATAAATATATACTTATACATAAATATTAAATATTTTTATCAACATGCGAAACAACTATTTTTATTTTTATTTTTATTTCTATTTCTTCTTTTTTGTATTATTATTATTGTTATAATTATTATTATTATTATTATTAATATTATTATTATAATTTTTATTATTAATTATTATTATTATTATTATTATTTTATTAATATAATTTTTTCTTTTCTTTTCTTTTCTTTTCTTTACTTTTCCTTCCGTCTTTTTTTGCGCAAACCATGAGTGTTCGCAAACAAACAAAAACATTCTATGTACAGTTCAATGGAAACAGCAAAATTACAAATGAGAAAGAAATGGAAATTGTGTAATTATTATTTACTTACACTATATAAGACAAAAAGTAGTATCAATGAAATAATCTGGAGTCCTCGTATGATTGTTATGATTACTATTATTATTATTATTATTATTATTATTATTATTATTACTATTATTAATATTATTATTATTATTATATATAAAAGATTAAAAATTTCAATAATTTTATTCTTTGTACATACTTATTATATAACTCTATTATTATTACGATAATAATAATAATAATTAATTATTAATATTAATTATTTACCTACCTATATATTATGTGAATTTATTATATTTAATATTAAGTGTGTGTGTATATATATATATATATACATAAGTATATTTCGTCTAATATTTCAACACATGAAATTTCTTCACATACACACACAGCTATATATGCATTCTCATTATACTTGTTATTTAGAACGCTATAGCATAATCATACGTACATGTATATATATATATACACACCCATACATAACGAGAATGAAAGAGTAAGAGCATTCGAGAGAGAAAGAGAGAAATGTGTGTGAATGCCTTACACAAAAGTACACTATATTATGATCGATCATATATATATATACCAGCACTGTATTATAGCAAATTTTGAGTGTAATTTTGTCCTTTATTTAAATTTTCTTTTTTTTCTTTTGCTTCTACCCTATTTAAAATGATTAACTATATAGTAATAAATGAGATAGGATAAGTGATAAGATTAGATAAGATAAAATAGTAATATAAGATTGAGAAAAGTGTTTTTCAAAAATGACGATGATATTTTTGAAATACACTGTAAAATATATGTATATATATGTATGCATGTATATGTGTGCAAGTTTATTTGCATATATATATATACATATATATATGTATATATATATATATATATACACATACAGTTGTAAAAGAATAATGTTTTAGAAACGACATTAGAAATTGATAAATCGGAACTATTAATAATTAATTATTATAATAATAATAATAAACAAAAAAAAAGTTAAAAAAACCAGCATAAAATATAATGCATACATAATATTTAGAAAATCTTAAGGGGTATGTTTCCGTCGACGTGTAAGCGCTGCCACAATTTAATTAAAAAATGTCGATAATTAAAATAAAACAACAACAAAAAATAAAAAAGGGAGAGATACATGAATGAATGAATGAATGAATGAATGAATTGGTGATTCATCATTGAATGAAAGTGTATCGGTATATGTAATTTACTACATATTTACTACATTACATAAAAACACATAGCTACAAAATACATGCAATATTTAGTACACGTATTCGTCTCTATTTAAAAGAAAAAGAAAAAAGAAAAAAAATATACATTTTGTTTGTTTCTTCTTTTTTTTTTTTTTTTTTTTATAGTTGATAAGGAAGAAGAAAAGAAAAATGTGTAAGAATGTGACGTCACAAACAAAGAAGGACTCAATTAAGGTTTGCGGTCAATCTTAGTTCATTAATGAGTCCCGAATATTATGTGTAATAAATGTAAATTTGAAGAATCATTGCATAGAGAGAGATAAATGAATAATAATAATAATAATAATAATAATAATAAAGAACAGAAAAATACGAAAGTTTGTTACTTTTGTAACTGCTGCAATGTTGATTCACGCTATGATGTTTCTTTAAACTTACAAATATATATATATATATGTATGTCCATCTTTCTTTTTCATTGACTTCATTTATTGATGATAAGTAATGATCTATAAAAAGATAACAACACATTCCAAACGTTTTATCTTGTTTCTTCCTAATTTATTTAAGTTTTCATTGAATTCCAATGATAATACGTGAAGAACGTGTTAATTTAAAAAAATTCGAGTTTGGGAGTGAAAAAAAAACAAAAAATAAAACAAAAAATGGAGGCGTTTTGCGTGTATGTCGTTTTTAATCGAACAGCAAGTTAGTTGAAAAATATTCAAAATAAGGAATAACAAGATGAGAGAGAGAGAGAGAAAGTGAGGAAAAAATGTGTGAGTGAATGAAACAGAGAGAGAGAGAGAAAGAAAGGGGTATTAATATAAGAGAGAAAATAGATTAAAGATAGAAATAGATTTATTAAATAAATGGATTTTTTTTTATTATAATAAAACAAATATATATTAATAATCTAAGGACAAAACCCAAGAGTATTTGGCTTAGTATGGCTGTGTTTAGGACAGTGTTGTATAAATCTGAAAGAGGTGTACCTTTTTGTGCTAGTAAGCTGTGTTAAGAAAGAAAGAAAGAAAGAAAAGGAAAATTCGAAAACTGCGCGTGCCAATATAATTAAAAAAAAAAAAAAAAAATCATTAAAAAGATTGATATCGATCAAAGAATCTTTTTGATCTCGTCTGACATTTTTTTTTAGTGTCTCAAATAAATTACGCGTTTGTTTGTTTCTCTTCTTTCTTTTTTTATTTTTTTTTTTATTTTAATAATTTCTTTTCTAAATACTTGTGAGGAGTTTCCTTCTCAAAGAACAAGTTCATTAATTTTCGTGAAACAAACAATTCTTTACTAATTAAGTTTCTTTTTTTTTTACGAGTATGGCGCGTCAATGTTAATAAATAATAATAATAATTATTATTTTTTTAATTAATGATATAATTAATAATGTAGACTTGAAAAAGCTCGTGTTTGTTTGGCACGCGGAGCATTCGTACACAATTTACTATTTGTAACGAGAG